AACCCTTCCTAATTACGGGAGAAAATCGTTCTCTTTCGGCTAAAGTTGACTTGCTCTCTGACCCCCCCCTAAAGTATAGGATGAATCATTCGAATTGCTCTCACAGAAGCACTGGAATCTCAAGCAAAGAGCTCGGATCAATGAATGATGAATAAGATTATGATATTTTGACTGACGCGCACCTTTTGTGACCCTGGACCTGGGCGGAAAGATAGTGACGGCCAACCAACAGCGCCGGCGCCAAGCACTGAATAGATCAAATAATGAAGTGAAATCCGTGATGCCATAGTGTCGAATAGACAATATAAATATTTGCACCATCTCTAGTTGATCCAAAAATATCAAAGAGAAGAAATCAAGATCTAAAGATGATAATATATCAAGAATTTCGTCCCTCGTTCCGCAATCGAGGTATTAGCACTAAAGCCGTCGAACCTTTAGGCTCAAATGCTGAGCCTCCTTAGAAAAGGTGACGAATCCAAGAGATAATTATTTGTTCCGCCTCAATAACTCCTGCCAAGAGAATTCGAACCCCTTTTCGACAGACGAATATAGCAGCACTAATGCCCTCTACGAATGAATTCGCTCGCCATCTCAGAGATATCGTCCGCGTTCGGAGAAGACGCGCTTGGCCAGATTCAATTTAGCCTTCGAACCGATACGCTCCCTGGAATTATGAATAAGTCGAAAAAATAATATTCAATCTCCGATCTCGCCAGCTTCTTCCAAGCTATTGGAGATGGTATCCTTGAGACAAGCCTCGTTCTCCTAAGATTTATGGATATGGGACAGCATAACAATACAGGCGAAGTTGTCGTTCTGAGCAGCGACTTCCAGGAAATGCTTTCTAATGATGGATATTTCTGTCAAAAGTATTGATTGTATATTGGTCCAAGGAATCACGTGATGATATTTACGATCTGAATAAAATAACGAACGATGATATTCTGGATATCTAAAAGTAGCACTCGTCTTACCGAAGCTCTGGTCTCTCCAGAGAATCTAGTCCGGCGGTTCTTGATCGACCTCACCAAGAGTGACCCGTCGCCGAAAATATTAGATGAAATAATAAGTAGGGCCTTGGGAGGCGCAGGCATTTTGGATCCCTTACAGACGGCGACAGTCTTTTAGGCTCAGGCACCTCTAGAATCGCCTTCATTGATTCCGATGAAATCTTGGACATAGAAATTTGTTCAGTGTCTCCGAAGTTGCAGCCTTTCTGATAATTTCTGCCGACGGAATAAGCCTAACGGCAGGACGGAATTTAGACCCATTAGCACGGATGGACGGAGGTAGAGATAGACGTATATGATCAAATTTCGAAATTGTAATTATGACCTTGGGAATCTTCGATAACGAAGAAGAAGATATATAATTTCTAATCTCTCCGATTCTTCTATTGAAATCTTAAGAATTGCAGATTACAAACGAAGATAAGAAGTCTTCATAGGTCCTTGAGATGCAAGGAGTCTTAGATTCAGAATTTTCGATATTTTAGCAACCAATCTAGAGATATATCAATCTTCCTCGAGAATCTCTCGGCGTCCAAACAGACTTGATATGCAAAGATATCCGAGACATATCAGAATACGCCAAATAAATCTGATCTTTTTCAAAATTGGATTCAGCTCCAAAATCCAGCGAATAAATGTCTTGCACATTCTTTGAGCGCTCTTCCCGCCACGAACATCTCTCGTACGAGAGACCTAAGATTCGGACTCCAACGGACCTTGCTCATCAATCGACGGAAGGCGATCTTATATATGCTTATTCTAAATTATGAATTATTTCGTAGAAGAAGCACTATGATTGAGATCCAGAGATTCCGACCGCAACCGCAAATCTAAAATGGCAGCGTAAGAAAGATCAACAAGGAAGGACGGGCGGCACCTCAAGCAATCCCGACCCTGAATATTTAGCGAATTTCCATCACATGCTTTTTCATTCTTGATCTAAATAATATAATACGATTTTTGTAGCATAATAATATAATAATAGATCTATAATTTTATAGATGAAGAAGAGAAGCCTAATTTTATAATATAGATATATGTATATATATAAATTCATCATAGATTCTGAGAATTTATCCAAATTGTAATCCCGGATCACGAGGTTGGAATTAGGATTCGGATTATCTCCAATTCGAACCCGCGGATCCGGGATCACGGATCGATTTAATCTCATGAGATTCGAAATAATTCCGCCTGGCGCTGCCCTCCATGATCTTCATACTCAATTTATATATTTCGAAAATATTTCATATTAGGTAGAGAAAAATTAATTGCACTTATATTTATGATTTGATAAATTTCTAGGAGAAGATCAAGAATATTGGAATTTAGATGATTGATTTATATGATATGGAGCATCATTTATTTTTTTATGATCTTGATCATTCTTGGATCTATTCAAGAACTCCTCTCAGGCAATCAAATTTTCTTCAGAATAGAATTCTTATTCATTATTAGGTATTCCTAGTTATGAGCCAGCCTGTGCTAATTTCGTACATTATACAGCTTCACAGACAGAAATTTCATATTTAGGAATTAATCAAATGAAGAGTCCCTACTCAGATCATTGATTTCTATTTATAATTTCTCAGGCTAAAAATCAAATATTTAGATCTCTATGATGAATTTGGAATTTGAAATTCTTCGAGATCCGACGAAAATTTCGATTCGTTTCGAATATTATATAATACCATAATTATATTTTAAGAAATTCATAAATAAGCAATCTCTTATCATATGATTATTCTTGATTATATATCTCTCAGATTTAAAAGAACAAGACTTGTAAGCTTCGAGATCCGGCAAAAATTTCATTATGAAATTATCATTATCTTTATCTTTTCTCCTTACTCCCTTGCCATAAAGAGAAACCTTCTCAATCCTCGGCATATCAATCTTGGCAAGTCCTCCATATATCGTCGTCGGGATACGAATGGACTAATCCAAATATATGATTTTATTCATATGGAAGCGGACAGAAGATTGTCGAGCAGTCGCCCGATTGTCGCGATCTGTCCCCCCCCCCCCGACCGGATCTTATCCCATAGCTCGTTAGATACTTGCCGATTAATGCCTCCAATTATTTGCAGACAAAATTTTATGATATTTTCGACGGATTTCTATATATGGTCCTTATTGAATTTTTGGATCTCCTAATTCATAATTCTAAAATCAATCAGATTAATTGGTCCGTACCCAAAATTCTCCTTCTCAAAATATATTAATTAAAGATCTCTGATAATATCAATCATCAGATCGAGCTACTTATATGAAATCGTAATTTCTCGGAGATTTCCTCCAAACCGAATCTAATATCATATTTCTTTTCATCTTTCGATGCCGCTTCCTTAGATATTCACTTCTCCGAAGAAATGAACCGCAACGCGAGCGCATTGACCTCATAAGATATAGTAATATTAATCAAAATATCGATTGACTCCAACGATCCTTTCAAAGAAATGACGATGAATTTCTTAGTCTATCTCTCATATCTTAAAAAGATCACGAATAGAGATTCTTTCTATATCTAAATTTGTCGTCTTCTTCTGAAATGATTATATAAATGAAATAATTATCTCGATTCCAGAATATGGAAATTATCTCTAATCTCTCGCTCGGATTTTGATCTAGCAACTCTCATAAGCATCCGAGCTCAATAATAGCCTCATCGATTATTTCATAATCAATCTTTTCGATATCTATATTCGTTTCAGATTAAGATTCCGACAAGATCTTATCAAGCGACATGATCTCGATTTGAAATTTATTGAAATTATGGATAAATTATCTCGAGCTTATAATATCATCTAATTAAATTTATCAAATCCCATTTGCAAAAGAATACCTTGAAGATCCCGAATCAACTTATTCATATTATTTCGACCAAATTTCAATTCGGTACCATCTCGCCCTTTAGCATCATATCGAGAACGATATGTATCTCTCGATTTAACTTATATTTAGCATATCAATTTCGAATGGTAATCTTCAAATTTAAGAATAATTCTAAATTAACCTTATCAAGAAAGAAGATTTAATAATAATAATATTCCTAATTTTCCTATTCCCAAAGACGACTCATAATTTTAGTTAGAGATATTCAGTCGACGATATTTCTCACGCCACCTCGCGAATATATAAAAATACTAATCTTCCTTTCGAATATAATAGTCTATTACAATTTCAAAATGCCCGGCTATCCTATCGGACTAAATATTAAAATCATATTTCAAATCTCCCATAATTTTAGTATCTCCCGTAATTTTAGTATCTAAGAATCTAACTCGACCATTCAACAAATTAGATAAAGAGTCTTATATATCTTCTCTCAACGATTTCTATTAAATTCATAATATATTTAACGAAACTCAAATTATTTATAGTAATAGTAAATTATACAAAGAAATATATATCGAAAAATTTCATCTCGCGACGAATTTAAATCAGAAGACCATCTACTTTATATCCCTATAATATACCTCAGAAAATTTCTCATTTCCAGTAAAATATATTTATTTGCAATGATGTGTAATTTCATGATTCTTATGAGTATTCTGTAACGAATCTTTTTTTAGGTGTGTTCGTAATATGTACAGCCGTTGTTGTAGATTCACGCTGTTTGTCTCTCTGCTTTGGAAGTCGTCTTTTGTCTGCCGGCCGATATTCGATGGCGAGGCAGCGATTCAAGTCAACGATACTCTTCGGATGGCAGAGTCTCGCTCAATCCAGCGAAAGCTGATTCGACTGCCGCCGCTTTGCGGTGGCAGGTAAGAGAGAATCGACGCCGCAATTTTGCGAAACATTGTGGCAAGCACGCCGCGCATAAGTGCCGGTCTACGAACTTCCGGCGAGAAAAGATCGGGTCTGGCTTGGTGCTGCAGCTTCATCATATCAAATGAAATTCATCAATAAATTCACTAGATATCTAGATCCCTAAAAAGCTTTGGACTCCAAACCCTTCTAAGGAGAACTGTGCCATTGGCTTGCTCAAACCTCAGGGCGTCCCAGCATCGTCCCGCTAGCTCCAGCTGCTGCGCTTCGACCCTTAGAGTAAGCGAAGCATCCAACCAGCAAGGCCATCGCGGCGAGGACGGCAGCAATGATGGCAACTGCAAGGGCAGCTGTACCTGTTGAGTCTTCACTTGGGGCGGCGGTTCCCTCTTGCGGAGCAGCCTGTGCGAGCTGTGCGAGCTGGGACTTCATGTCATCGACCTCCTTGAACAACAGGCCGCGCTGGTAGTCATCGAAGGAAGTGCGCTTGACACTGATGATGTTGTCACCCATTCCAGTGTAAGCCGCAGTGCTTGACTCGAAAGCGAAGCTCTTCATGCCGGCAGGGTACAGGATCTGATCTGCACCCGCTTGCGCCACGGCCTTCACCGCAGCACTTGGAGGAGTGAAGAGGAACTCTGCGGCCAGGCCTTCGTCGTCGTTCAGGATGACCTGCAAGAACGCCTGCAACGCGGCAGCAGTCTTCGGATTGGTCTTGGTCTGATCCTTCCGGACATAGAGGTAGCTCACAAGCACGATGGGCCAAGTGTTGTCGCCTTCCATGTCGTAAAGGTTCACGGCACTCCAGTCGACGTTTGGCAAGCTGGGGAATGTCCCGGAGTTCACTCCCTGTGTTCCGGCCTCTTGCACACCCGATGGTGACAGCGCCATGGACTCCTTCGATGTCCGAGTTCGGCCGGCTTTGTTCTTCAGAGCAATCTCGCCGAAGCCATACTGATGCCCGTGGCCTGCATCCAAGTAGCCAATGGCATACGGCGTGTCAGAGATGTGCTGCTGCATGCCCTGGGACCCCTGCACTGGGGTAAACCCTGAACTTGTAGGCCACGTGACGGTGGAGCCAGATCCAAGGGTCCAGCCAGTGCCTTCGCACTTCTGCTTGAGGTAGGACGTCAAACCAGTGGTGCTGCTAGATCCTGCAGTCCGGTGGCCAACCTTGATGACCGTGCCTGCAGGGACACTCAGTCCAGGATTAACTGCCTTGATGTCCGGGTGGTCCCAGGTGGTGATGTCACCACCGAAGACACGAGCGAGCAAGCAGTCTGGGAGCTGCAGTGAAGCGCCGCCTAGTTCACTTGCAGGCACGCTGTGGAAGATGCCGATCGCACTAAGGGCAAAGGGCAAATGCAACATCGTGATCCCTTGAGCAGCCATTGAGTCGAAACGCTCCTCCGTCATGGGAATGTCCCCGGCACCGAAGTGGTTGTAGCTCGCCCATCCGGAGCTCGCCTGGCCTGTGAACTCCTTCTGACCAGTGCTACTGCCCACTGCACGGTAAGTCAAGAGAAGAGGAGCACGGGCACGGTGCTCCATCTGCTTCATCACCTGGGCAAACCAATTGCGGGGGTTGGTGGTGCCACTGCCGTGCAGCGGGACCACGCCGAAGTCGTCCAAGTGTTGCTCGAGGGCTTGGACACGTGCCTCCAAAGCCTCGTTTGCCAGCTCAAGCTCGTGGGCCCTCCAAAGCGAGTAAGTGTTCCTCTTCACGCTGATGACGTTCAGTGCTTGCCCCGTCCAAGCATTAGTCGAGTCCTCGAAGGAGAACACGTCAGCATAGCCTGCCGGCTTCGTGATCTTGGAAGACCAGACCGTGGCCCAGGTGTTCATCTGTGATGGTACAGGGTTGAAGGAGTACTCGGCAAGCAACTCCTGGCCTTTTGTTGCCTCAGTGACGTAATCGACGAAGGTCTTCAACAAGGACGCCTTATCGACTGACCAAGAAGACATATCCGTAGTCACATAAATGTAGGAAACCAGGACGATGGGCCACGTGTCGGTGCCACCTTGGTTGTAAAGGTTCACGGCACTCCAGTCGGCGGCAGCATCTGCAGGAATGCTGCCAGCAGTGACCGCTTGAGCACCGGCAGCTGCGATGCCGTTCTGTGCGGGGGAAGCACCGCTCTCCATGGCCATCTTGGATGTCAGCCAAGTGCCGGCAGGGTTTTGCAAATGGACTTCCGAGAAGCCTCGCTGGTGGCCGTGGCCTGCATCAATATAGCCGATGGCATACTTCGTCGAGGCGATGTGAGTTGTCATCCCACCCGAGCCCTCCACTGGGTGGAAGTTGGTGTGGGTGGGTGCCGATGGCCAGGTCAACGTAGAGCCCGAGCCCAGTGTCCAGTCGGAGGTGCAGCCGGCAGCTGCCGTGGCAGCGACCAAGTACCCCGACACGCCTGAGGTACTGCTTGAGCCCAGGTTTCGGTGCCCGACCTGAATTTTGGTCCCCGCCGGGATGCCGGCCATTCCGGGATTGTCGACGGCAATCTCCGGGTCGGTCCACTCCGTGATAGCGCCGCTGAAAATCTTGGCCAGGACGCAGGGCTTCAGCTTCAGACCCTGAGCACCGACCTCGCCTTCTGGCACGGAATGGAAAATGCCGATGGCTCCCAAGGCAAAGGGCACATGAACAGCGCCCCTCCCAGCAGTCTGCAAGCCTGTCCAACGAGCGTTCGTCATAGGGATGTCTCCAGAGCCAAAGTCTGTCAAGCCCGCAGCGTAGTCGTTGTCGGAGCTTTGGGTGAACTCCCTCTGCCCGGTGCTACTTCCCACAGCACGGTAAGTTAGCCGAATGTCTCGGCGGGTCATGGCCATAAAGCTGTCCATGATGTGCCAGAAGAACTTCGAGGGGTTCGTTGTGCCACTGCCATGGACTTCAAGAGTCTGTGCTGCTGCCCCATGTGCTGCAATCGCGGCCACCACAGCAGTCAACCTCATGTTGCCCCACAAGCTAGCCGCTAGTGAGTGATGTTGGATGCCTGCCGCCAACTTGTGCCAATATGTTCAACTCACGGGGATGCACGGGGACACGAGCACAAACACAGCGACACAAACCATCCGTGTCTCCGCATGTGCTTTCAAAGCTCCAAACCCCTGCATGCCTGCTTTCAAGAGTCTCCCCGCCTGTACTGGCTCTTTGATTTGCAAGGCGCTGTGTGCAAGCTTTCTGAAGCCAACACCTACTGGCAAGGCACCGATACTAGATGCGTTGCAACATAGCACTAAATTCCTGATATTCTTGAACGGATATGATGGAGCAGCAGTGACTGTGAAGACTCAACCACAGTGAAGAAGAAGACTCACTACTGTCGAGACTGCTTTTCCTCGGCGCATCTTCAAGAGCTGCCGGCCAAGATCAGACTCTTGGCAGACAAGGAGAGTTTTGTCCGACGGTGACACCGTTTGGCTGTCCTACGATGTGACGACCTGATCCTTTGCCAGGGCTTCTGCGGAACTAGGGCCCGCTAGGTGTCGCAGCTCTCTTTATCCACATGCGACCCATCGCATCCACATGCGACCCACGGTTCCGACATTGTTTGGAAGACAGGAATCTGCCTGTCTGCATGCACGGTGACTCAAAATGGAAAACTCACTAAACGCCGAAAGCTACAGCAGCCAGCCATGGTGACGGTCTGCACGCATCTTTGTGCGTTGACTTGGCGACTCCTGGCCAAGGTCGTCAACGATTCCAGCAAGCAGCAACTCTGCTTTGGCAGGCAAAAGCCCTAGTGTGGGAATCGCGCTTCCGTCGCACCAGCGGCTTCACGACAACTCTCAGATGCTTTTAGCATCAGGCACTAGAGGGTACAAGTTCAAGCCCCATGCAAGAATGCCCGTCAACCCGCATTTCCAGCTCGTGGCTCCGATGGGTTTTGCGCTGCATCCTGGCATTGACAAGACCAAAGGGGAAAGCTCTGCCACCTCAGAACCTCAGAAAAAGGGCCTGGGGAGCTGAAGGAGAGCCAGGCTGCTGCCCATCCTCCCTATACGCCTTGCATATCAAAGGAGCGGCGCGCAAGCAGCACAGGCAAAGAAGAAAGGGGCACAGGGGCACCTCCGAGATCCAGCGGATGCGGCTGCCATCCTGCAGCTGCAAGCCATCAGGCGCGGAGGCCACTGGCGCGCGAAACCCCCTTCTTCTGCCTTCCACTCACCGCGGCGATAGTCGCCCTTGGCGGTCTTGAAGACTCCAATGCCATGCTGCTTGCCGTCCTCTCAGAGAGCAGCGCTTGAGCACAGTGCTAGGACAAAGAGCGCAGGCTCCTTCCAGTCACCGACATATTCTCGTCCATCTGGCCACGTGAACACTCCGTGTCCATCCTGCAGCTTGCAGATCTTTTGGGTGCCAGGTTGGCTCCGCTCTCTTGGAGGCCTTTTTGTCGTACATGTAGCTGCCAATGTACCTTAAACGAACCCAACCGGAACGGGGAACAAGTGTCGCAAGCTAAGCTGCCAACTTCCGGCCGTCTCTCCACGTGAACGTGCCCTGGCCACTCATCCTGCACTGTGCTACCATGCAGTGTAGGCGAATGCTGGAAGCAACGTGGATCCTGTTGTTCGCCCACTGCCCACAGTACACACGCCCATCATTCCAAAAGTACCTATGAGGCTCAACGTCCAGGAGCATCGATCGTCGATCTTAAGCGCGAGGCACCGAACGACACATCAGAAAGGTGTGGCAGCTCACGTGCCCTGACCGTGTATCTCATTGTTCTGAAATTCGCCCTCGTACCTCTCAGCTCAAGCAGTTGTCTCTAGTCTATAGTCCTGTCATGAGCCACTGAGCAGGTGGCGAGGAACCCTCTGGCCAGGTGAACGTTCCATGCCCGTGCTTTTTGCCGGCACGATACCTTGGCACAACGTCTGGGAGAGTCAAGTCCAGTCGCCGAGCAAAAGGACGCACTTCCTGGCTGGGCATAGTACTCTCCCTCGAAGCGGGAATTGTCTGCCTTACTCCCAGGGCCGTTCACGGACCCCAGGCCCCACGCAGCTCCGGATGACTCTCGGGCCCCGGCCCACTCCTCCATGGCACGTCCCTCTTTCTGATCGTCTTTCCACTCGCCAACGTACCTGCTACGCTGCCTACGGTCGGCGGCAATCAAATCTGCACTTTCATGACTAACTACGCATTGCCTGGAGCCGTCGGCATGGTGGTAGACGCCTCGCATGGTGAAGCCCCCTGTGCCCCACAAGATTCAACCGATGCACACCTTCTCCGTTGGCTTTGTCATCCTTCCACTGCCCTTCATAGACATCGCCTGCCAGTACAGTCGGCGTTGGATAGTCTGTAAACTGTAAACACAAGCTGTGACTCTGGCTCGAAGGAATATCCACCAACTACACCGTCGAAAACAACACGCAGCTTAGTCTTCAGTAAACTCATGAGTATTAAAAAGTGTGACATTCCTGGAACAAGGAACTGTGCATCTTCACAACTTGAACCGGAAGCGATACAAAATCAAACGCAGACCGACTGTCGATGGTGCTAGCATTCCTTCAACACGAAGATAAAGACTCTCCGCGACGACAAACCTTTCAGGACCATTTTTTCACGACTTGTATCACGATCGGTGCCTCGATTTTAGCGGTATGAAGCATGCATGACATGCGTCTGTATCTATGTTCGAGGTTGGTTGCGAGCGACCAGGTGAAACGGTGTCTGCAGACTCCTTACGTCATGTGAACAGACACACTCTCGCACGAGCAGAAAGGGCAGTGGGAGCTTGGGGAAGCATCTGAGAGTACCGTGCTTTTTCACAGCAGCCCTATGAGACGACACAGCTCGAGGCTTCGGTGGCTGGCGGGCTGGCCGTCAGCGTGTATGAACTTTCCAAAGCCCTCTGCTAAGCCATTCCGCCACTGACCTCGGGCAGCTTTTGCTTCTTGTCCCAAACTCCTGACTTTCTGCTTGGATGGGAGCCGTCGAAGCGCGCGCCGTCCGGCCATTCCTCACAAGTCCGAATCCCAGACCCAAATTGCTTTCAAAAGACACACCCAAAATCTCCTAAAACCCGTCCTGCAAGCCATTGCCATCACGCTTGTCTCCCTTCCACTGGCCAGTATACTTGATGCCATGCCTAGGTGGAAGTGTCAACACTGAAGTCGTCACAACTTCGAAGTCGTCTTCTGAAGTCAAGCAGCTCCAGCAGCACGGTGGGGCGCTCGAACCGCTCCTGGCCACGGAGCTCTCGCCGCTTTGACACAAACTCCTCTGCACTGACCTCCGAGGACACATTGGCACTCGGCCTGGCAGGTGCTGGTGACAAAACTCAGTCAAGGAGGCTCGTGGCGGCCAAGTCGCGGCGGCGAGGGCTTTGGCCCACTTTTGGATGCGGAGGCCGAACCTTGCTTCAGACTTCAGATACGATAAGAGCGAAGTGAGCTGCACCCTCGGTGGAGGAATTCTTTTCGCCTTTTCCACTCTCCGACATTGCCCAGGGGGGCGAAGGGCTGTCGGTCTTCTGCGTCCTATGCTGCCGGCTCGGCTTCTGGAAGGTGGACAGCCTGATCTGGCATCTGCGAACGGGACACGAAGGTCAGACTGCTCTGGATTTGCCTCTGCGCCGATACCACTGTCGTCAGTGTATGCCTGCAGTAAAGACACGTGGGACACCCATTGGCGACATCGAAAGGGCAGTCCGGTGCATCGGACACGGCCTGGAAAGCCACACGCTGCCCAGCGGTCAGGGACTGCAAGCCGTCGGCGAGGTCCTCCCGCGGTGCTCGCAGCATATGCAGCATCTTGCGACCACACCGGAAACTGTTTGGTTCTGTGATGCACGCCTTCACATGCACATAGATGCGAGACTTGTTCCGGGACTGGGCGAACACTCCAGAGACATTGCTTAAAACTGCCAGATTCTGCTTGTGGTGGTCTCGCTTGGCATCCGGCTGCCAGAGGATGATCAATCGGCTGGAGCGGTTTAATCCAGCCGAACTTGCCCTGCACGAAGCAAAGGATGGGCTTCTATTTGGAAAGCCAGCTTCTACCTTCCACTCCAGCACGTCGCCCTCCAACGCTTCCCCACCAAAGAGGGGCTGCCGAGGCAACTCCGGGCCCTTCCGGTCGGCAGACCACAACACGAAGACTTTCCAAGCTCTTCTGTGCTCCAAGCTCTTCTAAGGAGCCTGCCGATTTCATGTAGCCTCCTGCTCTGGCCGCCCAGGGACCTGAAGCCAAGGCGCACGACATGACTCTGGAGACCTCTGGGCTACGCAGCCTCCCCACTTCGCCGCAGGGCCCTTGCAGCGCAGCTGAGTGCACATTGCGTGGCCAGGGAACTGCACGGGCCTGGCTCGTGCCGGGCACCAGTGGGCTTGGAGGTGCCGTGCCCAGGGGTGGGATGGCTGCTGGCCTCGGCTTCCTACGAAATCAAGAGAAGCTGAGGTTCGGAGGCTCGGGTCCAGACGGCAGGCACGAGAGACCGAGTGCCTTCAAGGCGAAGCGGCGAAGAGGAAGGACGCACTCAAAAGCACTCAAGCACTGTCAAGCGTCCTGCAGCTTGAGGACCATGTTCTTGCCATTGTGGGATCGGCTAAACAGGTCTGGGCGAGCTGCCAGCACCTGGAGATGAGACACTGATCCGCTCCCGCCATGAGCAGCAGAACAGTCTCGTTCGCATCTTTGCGCCGCTCAAGAGGCAGAGTAACGGGAGCACGGGAGCACAAGGATATTCGCTTGCATGTTGAGGAACGATGCAAACAAAAAAAGCACGGGCGTAAATCCAGCAAACTCAATTCATCTTCTGGATGCATAAAAGATTTGTGACGAACCGGCTCTCAAGTCGTGAACTCAGCCCAGTGCATCTTCCATCCTTGGCGTGGGCTGTTGAAGCCCCAGCGCTGCCCAGGTTGCCTGCAAAGGTATCCAGGCAACAAGTTGAAAACTGCTGCTTGGCTTGGCCTTGACTGCAGGATCCTGCAGTGCTCAGGAAACATCGCACAGACAAGTTCCCACACAGCGTGTCCTTCTCGAACTGCCACCATTGGCTGCTGCAGTCCGGCCGGCACGCTAGGTGGGCAATGGCTGCATGGAAGAAGCCTGTCGGGCGGGATGCCAATTGGACGTCTTTTATCGGCGCGCAAGTCTCTTTTGGGGATGCCCCGCGCTCCTGTGAAGTCTGTCTCGTTTCCAGGAATCGACATGGCACAGCCATTTGAACGTCACAGCTTAGCTGCAGTCTATGCCTGGCTAGAGTGTTGCTTGTGCTTGACTTGTGCTGCTTCCAGGAATCGCACAGGCTTTGCGGAATCATTTTACATTGCAATGCGAGCAATATCGAGCAATGAAGTTGCTGAGATGACCCGAGTCAGACTATGTCAAGAATATGAGCCAGCTTCGCCTAAACTCGCTAGCGAGCGCTCAAGCCACCAGTGCGTTGAGACGACAAAGTGATCGATGTGCATTGATGCTTTGCTGCCAACCTGACCAACTAGCACCTCGGATGCTGACGCCCCGGAAAAGGCTCGATGTCTTGCTGATGTTGATCGGCCTGGGACTTGCATCCACAATGATCAGCAGGGCAGCTGCCGCAACGCAAGGAAAGCAGAACCGCATCTTTGCACACACTGATGCTGATCCGCGATGTAAACGACTGGACATGGGGCAGGGCACCTGCTCCGCATGTATGCAGAGGCAGTGGCCCATCACACGCAGCCTCAGCGCCAAACGAAAAGGGGTACAGTCGCACGTCTAGCTGTGGGGAACAGTGGTGGCGCAGCTTCAGAAGCCATTCGATGAGAGGCATGCTTTGCAACACTCGTATATGACAAACTGAGTCGCGGACAGCCAGCCCCCCCTAACCCGTACTGGCCAAGCTTCCCTCCCGAACTTCCCAACTAAAAACTCACCAAATTTCTCAGCTGCGGTTCACATTGGACTTGCCGAACTGCAAGCAGAGGCAACTGCACATGGCTCCTGAAGAGATCTCGAATTGTGCTTGTTCGGAAGTTTTTTCTCACGGTGCACGGTGTGTTCCTGGACACTTCCTGGCCCAATCGATCATGATGGCAACGCGGACTTTGCAGAAGTCCCAACCACGCAGCTCCTTTCGGCCCTTCGAGAGAACGGTCCAAGCATTTCGTGTGAAATTCCCCACACCGAAGGCTTTCATGAGTGCCGGCGGCATCTTGGCCGTGTCCTCGAAGATGGGAGGCCCCAGGTCGTCGGTTTTTTGGTGCATCCAATTCCAGCGGTGCCGCCGGGCCTCACCGTTCTCCGTAATGGAGGCCGTCGGATCTGCTGCACCGAAGGAACCATTAAACATCTGCTCGATGACAAAACGCGAGGTGTGCCCGACACCCCAACCGTCCATGATTGCCTGAGGGCCGACTTCTGCATAACAATGTACAAGCAAAAGCTACTCGTCAAGCCAGGGCACCTTAAGGCGTGCACGTCTGGCTGTCTTCTGTGCATCGTTCTTCGGTTCATCCATCATGCTCCACACTTCTGCATACTTCTTCCTGGTATCATCATCCAATGTGTAATAGCCCCCATGGTCAATGACGACGACCTGTCGCAAACCACATGGCAGTAGCTCGTACGCAGCGGTGTGTATCGTGGCCATCTGTATGCCGACCCCTGCCTGCACAAGGTACCTGAGATTATCTAGCTGCATCATACCGCATCCTACTGCATCCTACCAGCTGCCTGGAATGGGCTCTGCCCCGCCGGCACTGCATCCGCCCGACGCCTTACCAAGACATTGCCCGGATGCGGATCACCATGAAAGCATCCTGCATCAAGAAGGATCGAAGCCAAGCTACAACCTGATTCAGGAAGAAAACGCAGAAGCAGTGATGCATGAAGTGCTGAGAGCAAACAACGATGCATCGCATCTGGAAGTACAATCCAACGAACGCGCCAGTAGCACTTGCACAATTCTCGGCCAGCAAAAAGAAACGAGACAAGCAAACAGGCGAATCGAAACACGCGGAATCTTTGCAACCTTCTCGGGTCCTGTGAGGAAGAGCTGCATGGCGTGCCAAGTCTCCTCGAATGGGTCATCCGTCTTCCTACTACGTTGCGCCCAGGCAGCCGGCAACCCAACACAGCAGGGCCAAGGCGCCAGCGCCGCATGCAAAGCTGGAACGTCGCGGGCATAGTCCCAGTCATCAAAGAACGTCGGAGCATTGATAATCTTGCAGCCATCGATAAACTCCATTACCAGCAGGCGCCGTGAACCTCAACTAAACACCGGTTGGCTGGATTTCGGTGTTTTTCGACACCACCACCACCACCACCACGACTACTACTACTACTACTACTACCACCACCACCACCACCACCACGACTACTACTACTCCTCCTCCTCCTCCTGCTGCTGCTGCTGCTAATGCTGCCAGTGCTTCTCCTAATGCTGCTGCCACCGCTACTGCTGCTGCTGCTGCTGCTGCTGCTGCTGCTGCTAATGCTGCTAATGCTGCTCCTAATGCTAATGCTGCTGCTACTGCTGCTGCTGCTGCTGCTGCTGCTACTGCTAATGCTGCTAATGCTGCTCCTAATGCTGCTGCAACCGCTACAGCTACTGCTGCTGCTGCTACTGCTAATGCTGCTAATGCTGCTCCTAATGCTGCTGCCACCGCTGCTGCTGCTGCTGCTGCTGCTGCTGCTAATGCCGCTAATGCTGCTCCTAATGCTGCTGCAACCGCTACAGCTACTGCTGCTGCTGCTACTGCTAATGCTGCTCCTAATGCTGCTGCCACGGTTACTGCTACTGCTGCTGCTGCTGCTGCTAATGCTGCTAATGCTAGTGCTGCTCCTAGTGCTGCTGCCACCGCTGCTGCTACTGCTCCTGCTGCTACTGCTAATGCTGCTAATGCCGCTCCTAATGCTGCTGCCACCGCTACAGCTACTGCTGCTCCTACCGCTGCTGCTGCTGCTACTGCTAATGCTGCTAATGCTGCTCCTCATGCTGCTGCCACCGCTACTGCTACTGCTGCTGCTGCTGCTGCTGATGCTAATGCTGCTAATGTTGCTCCTACTGCTGCTGCCACCACTACTGCTACTGCTGCTGCTGCTGCGGCTGCTGCTGCTGCTGCTGCTACTGCTAATGCTGCTAATGCTGCTAATGCTGCTCCACATGCTGTGGCCACCGCTACTTCGACTGCTGCTGCTGCTGCTACTGCTAATGCTGCTACTGCTGCTCCTAATGCCTGCTGCCACCACTCCTGCTACTGCTGCTACTGCTGCTCCTAATGCTGCTGCAACCGCTACTGCTACTGCTGCTGCTGCTGCCGCTGCTGCTAATGCTGCTAATGTTGCTCCTACTGCTGCAGCCACCGCTACTGCTACTACTGCTGCTGCTGCTGCTGCTACTGCTAATGCTTGTAGTGCTGCTCCTAATGCTGCTGCCACCACTCCTGCTACTGCTGCTACTGCTGCTCCTAATGCTGCTGCCAGCGCCACTGCTACTGCTGCTGCTGCCGCTGCTGCTGCTGCCGCTGCTGCTGCTGCTGCAGCTTCTGCTACTGCTGCTAATGCTGCTCCTAATGCTGGTGCCACCGCTACTGCTGCTGCTGCTGCTGCTGCTAATGCTTGTAGTGCTGCTCCTAATGCTGCTGCCACCCTTACTTCTACTGCTGCTGCTGCTAATCCACTACTGCTACTGCAGTGCTGCTACTGCTAATGCTGCTCATGTTGCTCCACATGCTGCTGCCACCGCTACTTCGACTGCTGCTGCTTTGACCGCTGCGTCCTTTGCCGCCTGGAGCTCCTCGATGCCGATCTCCTGGGGCTTGTAGCGGTCCACAAAGCGAGACTTCAGCACGTGGTCCGGGTGCTCCCGCATAAACTTCTCCGACTCCTCAACAGTCAACACCCGAACGGCCTTGTTGGACAGGAGGGACTCAAACTCCTTGGCGCGGCTCTGTCTGAAGGCTTACGTTCCTTTCCAACCAGCTTGGAGTACTCCACCTGGCCGAAGGAAACCTTAGCTTTGGCCAAGTACAGGCACTTGTCCCGTGGGCAGTAGCTCGCCTCAGACTCCTCGGCGTGGAAGGTTTCTTTAGGCTTCAGTGGTTCCAGCTGGGTGCGTCCCGAAGTGTTCTGGTTGACCCACTTCGGACCTGCGTACGCCATGAAGTTCTGCTTGTCGTAGGCCCCATTGTCCTCGAAGTCCGTCACCGACAGGTAGGTTGAAGGCTTGATCTTCTCCTCGAGGTCCATCAGCTTGGAGTAGTAGTACGGGGACCGCGTGTAGGGCCCGTGACGTTCACGGCTAGGCCCCAGTAGCAGAGGCTCATGCGATCCCTCGTCAACCTGAATGGCTCGCCTTTGCCCTGCTCCCGCATCGGGTGGACAACGGCTCCACTGGAGGTAGTAGATCACGTTCTGCAGCTGGGAGCTGTGGCAGTGGTGACGAAGAGGCCGTCGCAGGAGCTGGAAGAGGTAGTTGATCCCGTCCGGAGGCAGTAGTAGTCGCAGCCTGCGAGGCAGATGCAACCGAAGGTGCTGGAAGAGGTAGTCGATCCCATTCGGAGGCCGTAGTAGTCGCCTTCGGAGGTTCCAATGACACCACACTCTGGCGTCTGCTCTGCGCCGGCTCGGAGGTCAGTGCCCGGTCGCTGTGTCCATCTCCGAGGGTGGTGGTCGCCTCATCGAAGGCACGTGGCTGTTCCAGACAGAGGACGTCCATCGCCTTCTTCAAGTTCCTCTGGTACATCCTCCCCAAACACTTCCGGGAAGATCTCTTCCACAAAGCGGTCAGGTGGGCCTTCGACGGTGACGTCCTCGTACCCTGCGCGAACGCCCTCTCGGACTTGTTGCAGCAGGTCCTTGTGCAGCTCCAGAGCTAGAGCTGCGCCCAACTCTTCCTCCAAGGTGGCCACCTTCCACAAACGGCCACGCATGTTGATCCACCAAGAGTTGCCACCCGGAGTGACCGCAATGAGGGCTCCTGGACCAACCCATCCATGACGATTGTCATTTCTCCTCCACACATACGCCCATTGTCCTGGATAGAAGCTGAAGGCGTGGAGCTCGGACTTCCTCGTTTGGGCGGCCGACGCTCGGCGCACTGAAACCACATCATCCTCCTTAATCCACGCTGCTCTCGCGGCTTCGCGAATGGCCCAACTCCGTTGCACCAAGTCTCCAGCTGAGGCCTTGACCATGTCTTGGTCCCAACGATCATCGGCCAGTAGCGAGCCAGGAAGCCGAAGCGAAAGTCCGAACAGACGCTGATCTGGGGAAAACCCATGGCGGTCGTAAAGGCTATTATGTGCAGAAACAACTTGGGCCACCACCAAGTCCAGTTCCTCCGCCGTAGCAGACGTTTCCTGCAAAACAACCTTCAACTTGTTCTTGACCGTCCCGACCGCTCTCTCCGCCCTGCCGTTTTTCCAAGGCGTGGACCCATCAGTGTAATGGATGGCCGCACCCATCTGTGACATGAATTCCACAAACTGTTCTCCGGCAAACTCTGGTCCTTGGTCACAGATGAGCACTTCTGGAACACCAAAGGGAGCAATCCAGGCTCGGCTCAAAGCTTGTCTCACCGTGATTGCTCGGGCATCTGCACATTGAATGACTTGCAGGTACCCTGTCCCATGATCGACACAAATCAAAAAGATTTTCTCGGCTCCAAAGGCGTTGAGATAAAAGGGTCGACGGCCACAATCGCATTAAAGTCGAGCGCCTTCGCGAGATGCGCCGGCCTCCTCGGCAAAGATCGCTTAGCCGATTCACATAGTGGGCATACGAAGAAGTCTTTTATCCACTGTATCACATCAGCACGAGCTCCGGAGTGTTTCATCGCACGGATGAACACCTCCTTCGCAGGATGGTTGAGGTTCCTGTGGACTTTAAAGATCTCTCGCCTCAAATGCGGTTGTAAGGAAAACCTGCCGCTTGATTCGTGCTTCCTGAAATCATCAACTTTCTTCATGGCCTCGACCACTTGCTGCCTGGAAGGTTGCAAAGCATGCTGTACCTCGCGAAAAACTTCATCATCTTCCGGTGCCACAGTTGGCTCCAACTCCATAACCTCATCCTCCCCGAAAGAGGGAAAGGCAACTGTGGTGCTCGCGAGGAAGGCTGTCTGGGCCCGAACGGCCGAAAGGAGACCATCAAAGGCTGGCCGATGCTTGTTGGCAGCCTGGGCAACGTCAGCAGTCGACGGGTGTGGCATGTTGTCCAAAGTTCTGGCATAGCATAAGCTTTGCAGAAAGGTCCGAACACACAAATCCAAATCCTCGGAATCAGACGTGGCCCACGAAGACCCCTTCCAGGACACCGACGAGCAGATCCGCGCCAAAGTCTGATCGTTGACAAGCACGTAGAGGCGCGGGCCCTTGTCCACCAGGGACATCTCAACGGCGGTGGTGTCCTTGAGTTGGTTTTGCAGACCTGACACGGCCTTCGGCACGCAGACCAAGGCATACAGCCTGCCCGCGTCCTCTTGAATCTTGGCTACGGAGACAAAGGTGTCCCAGCTCGATCCTGTGACGAACCCGGTCACAAAAGCCGGTCTAGACTCTTGAACAGCCTGCACCGCCCGCCCTCGGTCGTGACCCTTACGAAAATCCCAGGCCAGCAAGAAGCTCAGGACACGACTACCGTAGGGACCTGTATCCTGAAGACAGCCATCCTGAATGCTGGTCGTGGATGGCAACACCCAGGGCATAGTAGACGATACGACCTCCTTGCCACACGCCTGTTTTCTATAAACGACACGACCAGAGGTAGTAGCGGATGATGCTGTGTTGTTACTTCCGGAGGGTCTGTGGGTTTGTCGTTGCATCTGACAACTATCTTCTGTCTTGCCAAACTGAGACCATGAGGTAGTAGTGGATGATGCTGTGTCGTTGCTTTCGGAGGGCTGCTGGGTTTGTAGTTCCTGTTGTAGAGATGTTCCTCCAACTTCAACATGACAAAGTTTCTCTGGGGTTTGTGTAAATGGCACACTGAGTTGCAAAAGAAGTTGCCGAGGTAGAAGTCGCTGTGCTTCTGGTTCGGCACTCGAAAAAGTACAAACTGAAAAGAAAATGCACCACTCTCACCCTGTACGATGCCAGCCTCCAGCCGGTCAAAAGGCAACTTCGAAGTCATCGATGCTGCCAACGGTGAGGGGTGTCCAATCGCGGACAGGAGAATTGCGAGGCCACAGAACACACTGTAACCTCTTCGGGCCATAGACTGCCGTACCTCAGGAGGCGCATCGGTCAACATGGTGAAGATCGTAGTGCTCGTAGTGCTTGTCGTGCTTGACGTGACTGTCGCTGGCTCCTCGTGTTCACTCAGAACTCCGTCGGCCCCAAGTCCACTTCCTCGAACGAGTTGGGGCTCTGGTCCTGGTCGTCGAAGATCGCAAAGAGCTCCGGAGCCTCCTGTGGTTCGTGGACTTGCCGACGACGAGCCCTGTTCTGGATGGGATGGACTCCCGCCGGAAGGCTTCGAGAACGGGTCTCGTTGGTCGCCGTCGCTGTCGAACTCGTTCCCGTCGGTCCTTTCGAACGAAGGCTCTGCTCGTGGTAGTCGGCCCACTCGTTCGGGGCTCGACTCGTCAACTGCCGGGTGTCCACACGGTCCAGATCCTTGACTGGCGCTGACGGGTCGTACACACGCAGGGCCTCCATCGAACTTGACTGTCCGGCGGGCGCCCGTCCCGGTCCTTCCATCTGGTACTCCGGCTCGTGGCTGAACATCTGGTCCGGGTAGTCGACGGTCGCATTCGATACTTGGGCTTTGAACTTCTGGCGGATCGCCTCCTTGCGGTAGTTCGCGGGCCCCGCCGTTGTAGCTCTTGATCCTGGGCTGAACCGAACACCTGGTGCTGCCTTGGGGTGGTTTGCTTTCGGCGGGGCAGCAGTTGCTTGCTCCAAGGTGATCATGCCCAGGTTCGACCGTGACCTCCGAAATGGTAGTAGCTGAGGAGGATCGGTGGCCCGGTACACAGGCCGCACTTGATCGGGAAGAGCTCCTTGCCCTGCCACCATGATGGCCTCGGTTCGCTCCCAACGGCCGCCGCAGTCAAGGCACACCCACCAGTGCATAGCTTGATTGCCCCTCATACGAAGTTGCTCGTGGTGGTGGCTGCAGTCCTCCGGCTCCTTTGGGAACTTGCCTTGGGTCTGGCTTCGCGAAAAAGGTCGCCCAAGGCCTTGGCGAACCGGTTGCTGTCGCTTCGAAGTTCGAGCTTTCGGAGGAGGGCCGCTTGAGGATGCCGCCGTAGACGAAGGAGGCTCTGTCAGGATGGCATCCAAGACCATCTCGTCGCAATCATCCTGACAATGATGCCCACCAGCCTCTGCCAGGTTCGAAGGCACCATGCAGCTCCTCGACGACGGTTGCCGCGGCCCAGCTGAGTTTCCTGCTCGCCGCGGACAAGCTCTTGCACCCGTTGATGCATAGCTCGAAGAGAGGAGACACAACGACACAAAGCCGGCGAACATGGAGCTGGGCTTCATACGGTCTCGGGCCCACGTCATGAAATGAACCGAACGACGTGGCACTTCTTGCTTCATGCTCGCCTGAATGCGTGCAAACATGTCCCGACTGCGTGTTCTCACAGACTGCCATGCATCTCCGGACGACGACTTTGATGGTGCAAATTGCGAAACAGCAGGCTGCACACGCTCATCGGCTTGCAAAACAACAGACTGCTGCACACTCTCACCTCCCGAAACTGAAGAGAAAACACCCTCAAAGTCGTAGACTGCGCTAGCGTCATCCAAAGTGTCCGAAATGTTGTACGTCACCCCGAAATGTTGTACGTCACCGGACCAGGCAGCCTGGGAGGTAGCTGGCAACGAACACATAGGAGAGGTGGTTGTAGTAGGGCATGTCGGAGAAGGTGTCGCTGACGGCTCGCGGGCTTCAGTAGCTATCTGCTGGAAGATGACGGTTCCCGTCCATGGTTCAGAAAGACACCTTGGGCCTAAGTCGCCTTGCCAAATGTCATTGATGATGTAGGGGCGATGGCCACGAGGGGCATCCAAGTAGGTCACACGTGTGGGTTCTTAGGTTAGCTTGGGCTTCCGCAGAGAGAACTTCCGCCGGCACAACCATGCGTTCTCTGGCACCCTCCAGAAACCCAATCTCTTGCATAGAACCCTCTGGGTGACGCAACCACACAGTGACACCCCGGTGCTTCCGAACTGGGCCTTGCTTTGCTGAGTGATTCAGCCTTTTTGGAAGCTGAAACGGGTCCTTTCCGCTCTGCTGCAGCTCCTTGGGTAACCGCCAGCTGCCATTGAACTCCACAACTGAAACTGCTCGGTGGCCGGATGGCAACCGCATCATCGGGGTAGTATGGCCTTGTCTCGTTCGGACTTCCTCTTTGTCATAGTCAATGACCATGCCGACCAACTCCTGGAAGGAAACTGGAATCAAGAAGGGCGTCTCAAACCCTTCCGCGTCCTTTACTTCGGTGACTCGCAGAAGGCCGTTCGTGCGAGCCACCCCAATTGGCACATCCCAGACACTTGCCACCGTGGCCGAACCGCCGATGCCAGCACAAGAACCCGTTGGTCCTCGGACTGCGACGGGTCGTAGTCCCTGTTGTTCAAGAAGAGCTCGTAGCCGGCTAAAGGCACCGGCGCTGTCGACGAGCCCTTGGCCCGCCTGGGTTCTGACTCCTGCGAAGACACTCACAGTGGCCGGCAAAGCAAAGGTACCTGCAGTCATGAAGGTGCGGTTCAGAGCTCCCTGGCCTTGGCTAACCACAAAGCTCGCCCGATTCTCCGCAGCGTTGGCCGTGGCATTGGGACAGTCACGGCTAAAGTGCCCCAGCTCGCCACAACCATAGCATCGCGTCCGCGCTAGCAACTCCTCGGCCGTCCCACGGTTTCCACGGCCTTTCCCCTTTCCAGCTCCTCCTTTCTTCCCACGGCCTTTGGAAGAGCCTTTGGAAGACCAGGGCGACTTGCCACGCCCCTTTCCTTTGGACGCTCCTTTCTGTTCCCGAGGACAGAAGAATTGTCTGCCCTTCCGCCGCGCTTGTAGTTCTCGGCGCACGTCCTGGTAAGCGGGGAAACTGGTTGGGTCGTGGGCCCCAAACTCTTGGGACAGCTGCTGGTACGCATCGTTGTACGCCCATATATACAAGGCCTCTTCCTCATCGAACTCCCGGTCGGCCTCAAAGTAGAGGAGGGGCTCTGAGGGCTCGTCGAACTCCTCCTCCACATAGTACTGGCTGGTTCGTCGGTCCTTCATCCTCGTTCGTCCAGAAGGCAACACCAGCATCCGTCGAGGCCTGGGTCAACAAGGAAGATGAGGCCATCGGCTTCAGGAGGGCATCCGGCCGGTCCAAAGGCCTCAGTGCCCTCGCCACGTCCTCGAAGCTCAGGAGGGCGTTGTGCTTGATCGCCATGTTTTCTCGCTGGCTCTCTGTCAGATTCGCCTGCTTCAACAAAATCCGGCCAGCGATTTTGTCGGGCACTCGTTCTCCCGACAAGTTCTCCACCTCTTGTCTTGCAAGTTCTTTAGCCGCGATAAAGGAGGGGAAGGTTTCGTTGCGACCTCTGTCGCCTTGAAAGAAAAAGGCATCCACTGCAGCCGGGGCAGCTGCTTCAAGATAAGGCTTGAATTTCTCCAGGATCGCCGTCAGGATAGCACCATACCCACGCTCTGAAGTAATGACTTCCATCGGCAGACCTTCTGCGATCCGACGCGGAATGCTATTCTGCGGGAGGGCCTGAAACAGCTTGACACCCCAACGGTTCTTAGGCACGTGGTTGTCCAATTCCCAGAAACTCAGCTGCTTTAGCCAAGCACGCAGTGTGGATGCTCCTCCACCCCACGAAGGAATAAACTTTCTCTCGCCAGAAACAGCCATGGTCAAAGCTTTCACTATAGCATCACTCGTCTCCATGCCAAGTTGACCTTGCGTAGTGGGCGGTTTTCGCCCTAGCAGTTCGAAGGCACTCTGGACCCCTTGAGGGTCTTCTCCTGTCCCAGCACCACCGGGTACCCCGGCAGCGCCCAAAGCATTTGCCATAGATCCAGCAACACTTGGTCTTGCTGCACCCGCTGCCTGGCTTCCAGAACTTGCGGCTCCAATGTCTACATTCGCAGAACTCTGAGCAGTGAAGGTCGGGGGAGAAGTGCCAAGCAGCGGAGTCGAAGTAGTAGACGGAGCGTTTGGGCTCATCGGCGCAGTCCCTGCACCAGGTCGCGCACCTGCCTGGTCCACTCGCCCCGTAGCATAAGCACAGGGCCCGGGAGGCAGGCCAGGTGTCCCTTGGCCGAACCCCTTTCCTTGCCACTCGCGAAGAAAGGTTCCAGGTGGGCCCCTCATGAGCCTCCGCTGCCACTGTTGACTGGCAGCACTAATCGGAATACTCACGACTCACAGAAAGTGCTCACCGCAAAGACGCATCCATCAAAGGATTCTTTACTACACTCGCGTGCCAGTGCAGCTCAAGGCCTTTGAGAGGAAAAGACCACGGAGAGTTGAGTGAGGGCAACAGCAGCAGGAAACTTCCGACTTCCGGAACTACGTTTCACGATTCACAACTGCTGCTGCTGCTGCTGCTGCTGCTGCTGCCGCTAATATTGCCGCTAATGCTGCTCCTAATGCTGCTGCCACTGCTGATGCTGCTCCAAATGCTGCTGCCACCGCTACTGCTGCTGCTGCTGCTGCTGCTGCTTCTTCCAGACGCAGCAAGAAGTCT